GATACTTCCGGAGTAGGTTCGCCCATCAAAACAGCTTTCAGCTTCAGTGTATCGCCTTCACGGCATGTTGCATCGCACAACGTTGTCTCGAATTCCACGGGTATCGGTGCCACGATGGTTAACTTACCCTGGGTTGTCGCTTCCCCAGCTTTATTATACGCAACACATTTGATGGTACCAGTCATATCTTTCGTACAACCATGTATTATCAACGAGTATACGCCATCTTCTGTTTTCATCTCGGTATCTTCGGTTGCTACTACGAGCTATAATAATGCTTATAAGCATGATTTTTGTTGTATTATCATTTTTTGATGAAACTAATGAAAAGATGGCCGTGATCCTTGCATTCTCAACAACCAGCGGACGGTGTGCATTAATGAGTGGTATTTGCGAAATAGCTGATTTTTACACAGCTCTGCGTAAATCTAGTCCATTTTGACACCGTTTCAGCCAAAACTTACGTCTTGGCATAAATTTCATGCATTATTTCACTCTTATCGATCCACTCTTGGCGATATTATTAAAACTAAAGTGACTTTTTATAAATTAATAATTGCTGCTGTATAAAATAATTTAATTTAAATGACTAAAATAGATTTTGCCCCTCCAGTTCCATAAATTTTCAAGCAGCATAAGCTTGCCTAGTATGCATAAACTTGGACGAGTACCACACGCTTGGAATAGCTCATCAAAAATGGCAGAGCGAATGTGATAATGGTGCACTGAAACTTGCCTGATCATTGATGTACCATTTGGTGAATGGTGTCGGATCACCAGTGATAATCAATTTCACATTTAGCGTTTCACCTTCCGTAACAGTCATTGTCGGGATATCGGACAGGAAAGCTGGTTTGGCCATCGGTCGTTTCTTGGTCACTCCGATTGATGCCGAACATTCTGTGTGTTGAGAGGGCCGCTTTTGTTAATTTTTAATAAAAAAACTCATAACAGAAGTCACGCAAAACGGAACAGAACTGAGTGGCTACGTCTGCTGGCACTCGCTAGGAATAACAGCTCGAATCTCAGGAACCTAAGAACTTTACGGTTAATTCATAAATTTTCTGAAGCTGATTAAAACGTAGAACTTAGAAGCTATCTTAACAGTAAAACTAAAAGGCCAATTCATTAAGTTCTATGTTAATTTTAGCAACATATTTATGCTAATTGGTTAAACTACTGCAAGCTCAAGTATAACAAAGCATCTGATGTTAATTGAAAAAACAAGAATCCTCTAATCTAGCTAAGCATGGTATGCTCTACGTCGGTATTCTTCAAATCTGGAAGCTCTCTAAACTAAGCTAACCTGCTATGCCACACAAGTCCTAGAAGTCATTGTATAAGGGGACACATTTTCTATTGCAAATGGAAAATACATCAAGGCGTAAGCAAGTTTAGTTTGTATTACTAATCTTATCAAGACTGAGGATCCTTACCAGCTGATCCGAATTGATTTTCGGCTTTTATCGTGATCCTGGATTTATCATCCAGTTGAGCTGAATCGATTTTCAGGATCAGTGTACCGTCATCTTGTTGACTTGTCTGGAAACGAGCATCATCTAACGGTTTGCCATCTTTCAGCCATGAAATTGTTGGTTTCGGTTTCACCTGAAATTTTATCATTATTGTTAAATATCGCGAACGTTAGCTAGATGTAAACGGTTTCAAAACCCAAAACGTTGGTTGTTATCTAAATATGACATGATGAAAACTTTATCCTAGGACATTATGTATCATGATTGTCTTTAGTTTTTTTTACACTACTAAAATCCTAATTTGTATATCCTATGACCTCAGAAATAAGTATCACTGGATGCCCTCACTATTTTCTATTGTTAATAAAGCAAGGAGTTTTAATCGAATAAATAGCAGAAACGCACAAAACCATATCTAACAGCACGTGCTCGAGCGCGAAATGTATGCGTGCAGAGAAAACATATAAACATGCGAAAACGCATAAATCTAGGTAACAAATTTTGGGATCTACCTCGGCAAGTTTCGCATCCATAACCAGTTCTTCACCTTCAACCACCAATTTATCCTCGATGTTCTTCTGGAAAATTGGTGCTTCGCCGACTGCTTTCACCGTCAGCGTTGCAAACTGTTTCTTTGATCCGACGGTGTTCTTAGCTTCGCAGGAAATTTCACCACTCTGATCCGGGGTAACGTTCTCAATGGTTAATGTATATACACCATTCTCGGCCGTCATACTGATGTTACTGAAAAATAAGTGAATTGTACATGATAAGCGCCTATGTCTCGCTTGATAGCGAGCCTCAGGATAATAGCGAACCAGTTTTGGCCGTGTTTTCTAGATCACAACGATATAGTGCTTGGTGTCATTATCTTCTACAACCCCCTAAGTGATGTGGAAATTACAGGGATATAAACTGTAAATATCCGTGATCAGGAAATTAGAGGACGAAGGAAGGTTTCAAATAATTTTTATGTTGGGTCGGTACATAAGTCTGTGCCGTTTTTCATTGGATTGTTATGTATTTTAATACATCAGTATTGCAGAGTAAGGCCGCGCAGTTTGATGTATATCACTAGGTGAATGTGTGAGTGATTTTTCATCAAAACTGTATTGCATTATAATGTAATATAGTGTATTTTATAGTAATAAAGCAGCACGGACTTATGCACCGACCCAATATTAACAAATGCAGCTGATTTAGTATAGCACGCGACCACAGAGGAGAGAAACCAATAGTGAAATTTTGATAATTCATGGAAAACATCCAGGAGTGGTATTTAGGTTTAAGTTCGGTTCGAATACATCTGCTCAGAATCTTAGAAAAATGGCAAAAAAAAGCGATTTTCATTTACAAAAACATGTTGTAGATAATAATTTTTAATATATTTGCGTGAAAACTATTGCAAACTAACCCTCCAGGTGTAATTGGTTCACCATTACGGTACCAGACAACTTCCGGAGCAGGATAGCCAGTGACCGTGACCGAGAAGCTCACTTTCGTACCTTCGTTCACCTGACGACTATTCATCTCCTTTTCAATGCTCGGTGGTTCCGACTTCTTGTCCACTGTAAGCAGTGAGCTTGCCTCTATTTTTCCTTCTGTATTTTCAGCTTTTACAGTGATCTGAAAATTTACATAAAATTGAAAATAAGTTTCTAATTTCAGGAAAAGAAATTTAAACCAGCTGAACAGCTGAGTCAAAAATTTGTGCAGAAATAAACTACTAAGCCTGAAATGTCCATTTTAACCAATATGGCACTTCCTCTTCGAAATCTCATCCAGTTCCTTATCTAATATAATTTTTTTAATTTTGAAATTTGGGATTCTTTGCGCATTTTTCGCTTAGTCATGCAACTGAAATTTGGATCCACCATAAAATTAGCATTTCGTTAAAAATAATATTTTTTGGCCAACCGCATTGTCGTGTGGCTTAATTTTCACATTTTTCTGGCCAATAAGACAATTTGACGTCTAGACAAAAATCAGGAATGATGGCTTATGAAATTCAGGTCCAAAACCCAAGTTCGCGATATGCGGTTTCTCAAAAAAAGTAAGTCATGTGTTAGGCTTATAATCGAAAGTGTTACCTTCTTGCCGCTATCGGATAGTTTGGCTTTGTAGATTTTTATTGATGTTTTCCCGGTTGTTTCATCGAATTTCACACGAAGCTCTTCGTTTGTTACCAGTTTTGTTTCTTCCATAAACCAGCTTACGGTAGGAGTTGGTTTTCCGGAAACGGTAGCACTGAATTTTACAGTTTCATCCACCTCTACTGAACGATCTTGAGGTTGTTTCAAGAATTCTGGTTTTTTCGCTGCTTCTTTGATTTCCACTGTTGCACGCGATTCACTGGTTCCATAGGAATTTGTTGCCTGGACAACCAGTGTTCCAGACATCTCCGTTTTAGCTTCGTTGATTGTTATGTGGTATTTTCCTTCCCCTGCAAAAAAAAAAAAAAAAACCGTGAAGTTGGTTGAAAGAACATCCTGTGGCGCCAAAACGCTACAATTTATAGCAGAATGTTTGGGATGTTTTTTCATAAAAGTCGCTAAAATGTCATAAAAACTATTAAAATAAAACTAATTTATCGAAATCTACAAAAAGAAATCAATGTACCATGGTCAATGATTTGAACATTCTCGCTGTTTGTCAACTCCTTGCCACTGAGGAACCATTTCACGGTCACTCCCATGTAAGGTCTTTCGATTGCAACGTCCCAACGAAGCGGCTCACCCTCGCTAACACTCCGATCAATGAGATGAGTCTTGAACACCGGCTTTGTTAGGTCGGGCTCAATCTGGAAGTATTGAAAAATTCAGTTTATCATGTTAGGATCTAAAAATGCAGGAGTTGGACAGAAAAGCAAAATTTGAATCAAGAAAAAATAAAATTGAACGAAAAAATTCAAAATATTTATTAATAACTGGAAAACTCGTAAATTAAACATTAACCGAGGATCAATATTACCTGTGCTGTTAGCGTAAAAAGTTTAGGGTTGGTGATATTTAGACTGGACCCGGTTTAGGCCCAAGATAGACTTACTGAGACAGAAAAATAAATCACCCGTAGGGCATACAATTTTTTGGCACCTTCAAAGTAGATGCTTAAATAAAAAATACTAACTAAAAAAAACGTCTGAAACCCTCCCCTTTTCCTCACTTCCCTCCTCTCCCCTCATTCTTCTTCTTGTCTGTCTCTTCCTTCCAGAAATAATTAAACATCAAATAAGGTAATTAGGAATTTACATTAAAAAAATGATCAGGACAGATTGCAATCTGTGTTTCATTCCCTAGCTGGAAAATGAAAAAAAAAAATAAAAAAAAACGATGAAAACCAGCCTTTAGGACCACTTCTTTGCCAACCATGCCGGCGGGATTTTCGGCTGTCACGACAACTTCACCAGACTGTTTCACACTTGTTTTCTCGATTCTCAGTGTATAAACTTCTTGGTATGATTTAATTGTAATATGCTCGTCTGTCTCACGCAGTTCCTTGCCGTTTAGCAACCACTTTACGGTTGGCGCAGGTTTGCCGGTTATTTCAACACGGAATTCTGCTGTTTCGTTTTCTTTGATTGATAATGAATGAGGCCCTGCAAGAAATCTAATGAAAGTGTTTGTTGTGTTTTGTTAAACATGAAATTTGAATTCAGTTTATTTTGGACTAGAAAATTTAATAAAACGCGAAAATTTATTTCTTTTCTTGCATCACAAAATATTACTTCATCCATCTTATTATTTGACATTTACTGAAAATATGTGATAAAGTATTAAATTAGTGACAGTAATGATAGAATGAGCGAGAAAATTATGAACATACGAAATTTTGAAAATTTGTTAGGCTTCTATATTACGATTTTGTCAGAGTAATAAACATTATTACATATATACAAGGTGCTTTCCCATAGATGTTACAATACCACTGATAAAATGATAACGAAATTATAAAGTAATAAAGATAACGATTGCAAAAACGATGAAGGTATGATGCTGCAAACATACCTGATTTCACAGTCATGCCTAGGAAATCAGGCTTGCTAAGGTCTGGACTTTTTTTTATCAGCTCAACCAAAAACTCAGATTCTCATTCGATCAGAAAAACTGACCTTCAATAATTTCGGGTGCGACAGCACCTTCTTTGACGGTCATATTGAAGGACGAAGATGCCTGTCCACCTTCGTTGGTTGCTGTTACTTTGATGTTACCGGCCTGTTTCATGGTGACTTCGTTGAATATGAGGATGCTCTTGCTCTCTTCATTTCGGATTGTGATGTTATCCACACCACTCTGCATAGAGTTGTAAGTTACGAAATCTTCTTGAAGGAATTTCAAATTTTTTGAAAAACCATTTGAGGTATTCGGACCACCCACCATAATTCATTTGGAATTGTTTAATGTGCTTTTTGAGTCAATTAAGATTTTTCGAAGAAAGTATTGCCAGGATTCTCGCACGGAAAACGATTTCCATCAAAATTTTGGAACAGGAGCTTTTTAAATGAATTATAATTTTTGTTCTTTCGCTTATGAGGACTGTCTGCTGATTACAGTATCGTTGATAATTCTTCCTCCAGAGAAGGGGGCTTGGTAGCAGGCTGAGGAGGTTTAAATAGCACCCTCAGGTTAGTTAGAGGGGATTCCGCTATTCGCTTACTCCCAGAATCAATCCTAGAGGAGTTATTCTCGTGGTGACAGCTTTAAATCTTAACACTTCAGTAAGATCGGAAACCACGTATAAAAGACTTTTCATGATTATAGGAAATCATTAATAAACTCAAAATTCTCCTCAAAATTCACTTCGTGAGGGAAATTATTGCACAGTGTCATAATGGTGGGCCTCAACTACGGTAATTTTAACTTCTTATGCTAACCTGTAGAATCTTGTCGTTCAGCGCCCATTCAAAGACTGCTTTACCGGTTGATTCAATCGTCACTTCCACTTTGTCTTTTTCAGTAACCGAAATGTCGCTTAGAGTGTTCGAAAACTCCGGAGGTTTATAGATGATTTTTTCCGGAATGGCAGTCAAATTTGCGCTAGCTTCTGTAGTACCAGCTTCATTTGATGCTTTGAAGGTAATAATTCCAGCATATTGAGCCGAATCAACAGTTAGCTTGAAGTCGAAATTTTGGCATGAAATTTTTACACCTGCAAGACATTAAATGTTTTGTTTTTACGCATATTTCAAAAAAAGGCGCTGTATTTCGATAAGTATCAAATCGCCCTAGAAAATGAGAGTTTTTTTTTCTTGCTGTTACTATGAAAGATGAAAGAAGATAGACTTTGCCTCTGGGCTCAACTGCACTTAAAGGCAGAACGAAAATGCCAAAACCATTCGCAAAACCGATGTGGGTATCTCATGCTAATGATGGTTATTGCCACTGCTAAAAGCCGGTGCAAAGCCCTTCGATTCAGAGCTGTGAATCTCACAAAAATTCAAAATATTTCGAACGAGCAAGGAAAATTTGTTACGAAAACCACTAAAAAAACCAAAGGAAAATTACCTGGCATTTCTTCAGACAGTTGCTTTTGGTTACTGTACCACTGCACGGAAACTTCGTTCGGCTCGATAGAAACTTCAAAGTTAGCCATATCACCTGTTTTGACGCTTTGATCAATCAATGTTTTCTTAATCACTGGAATCTTTCTGCGCGTTTCTTCCATCTGTCGACTTTCAGAAATCTTAAGAAACGCAAACCATTAGAGTAAGTAAAAAAATCCAGATTTTCAATAACATATTCCCTCCGCAGTTATTGTCTGCAAAGAGGTAAAACAGCCAAATTAGCCCGAGCAGTTGCAAGTGTCGATAGCAACCACTCGCTGGTAAGGCTGTTTATGGCTCTCTTTTTAGACTGCATGCCTAGCTGCAAATTAGTAGCGTGTCTTCCTTTTTTTTCTAGGTTTGTTTGATCGAAATCATTGATAGAGAGTAGATGGATAGGATACTACACTAGCGAGATTGAATCCTCGGTCTCCAGCACGCGAACAGCACCGTGTTCTACTACATTAAGCTCACCAGCCAAATTTTCAAAATATTTGTTCTAACTATTGCGCTATAATTCAAGACGGTTTCTTTAACGAAAAGATGGAGGGATATCAGATTGCAACCTTAATTTCTTCGGTTTTCACGATTTCGCGTTTTTCATCGCCAACCACTTTTGTTTCTTCAATTTTTTGAGTTTTTACTGTTGTTTGTTCAAACGTTTCCGACATCTTCATTTCTTCTGTTATTTGCTGTTCCGTGACACTCTTTTCTTCCACAGTCAACAAAGCACCGGTTTCATCAATACCTAAAAAAA